GCCACTTCTTCATATTCAGCACTCTCATTGTTGGTGTACTTCAAAACTGCAATGTCATCTTAAACCCATTATTTGGTCATAAAAAAACAACAACAACAAACCAGAGTCCCTGGTTTCTGCTGATCATCGGCAGCTGCTCATAGGTGGCAACGCTCTGCCAACACAGTGACTCTTCATTATCTTTCTTCTACCCCTGACCTCATCAGGATGCCCCCTCTCCTGCTCCTATAGACCCTATTGACTGTCCACCTGCTCTTCTGAGCTCCATCTCCCCTCCCCCTGCCTCTCCTGCCTCTGTTGCCTCCTTCACAACTGTCCCATCATCTCCGTCACCACCTCCATCCCTCTTGTGTTCTGCTCATCCCCCAGCTTCCTCCTTTTTTTTTTTACCCCACCCCCCACTCTTTTGAGACCCTGAAGACATCATGGAAACCACCTCATCATGACTGGATGGTTGTCCTGTTTCTGTTCTCTGATAATGGATCACATTTCATCCTTCTTCACTCTTGAAGACAATACACACACACGCACACACGCACACAGATGAGGGAATAAATGGACACTGAAGTGACTTGCCTAGATGCTGGAGCCAGCACTCACTCCACCACTCATCTATTCCTACATCTCTCTTTCTCTCTCTCTCTCTCTCTTTCTTCCCCTCATCTTTTCATCTTCTTTCTTCTGCAGTGTTGGCCCAGCCCAGACTGTCTGCTCTCTATCTACCATTTCTAACTTCCCCTCCCTTTTCTCTCCCACTATGAGCTGTATTTTCTTTACTTCTGTCTATTTCTGGCTCCTGGTTTCACTATTTCTTCTCTCTTTGTCCTGGGATGGGATGTGATCTCCCTCTTTAGGCTGACTGCTCTCTCAGCTTCTTCTCCACATTTCACCTCATTATTGCGTTGTCACCCACCCTCACATCTCCTTCATCCCACCCTCTGTTCATTTTCGTCTTTCATCTTTAACCTCTCTGTGACTCCACATTTTGCATCAGATGAAACAACTTTTTAAAAAATTTTGCATCAGATGAAACAACTTTTTTTTTAAATTTTTTTTATACCTTTTACACCAAAACCACACCCATTATCCCCTGCTGTCCGCTGCTGTTTCATTCATTGTTGGTCTTAGTTAGTAAGGGACTAATCGGCGGCTCGGTTGTTTGTCACCATATCATCACAGGGTGCAGAGACTTGTCATTGGTTGGATTTTACTCACATGCTTCCCAACATTTGAAAAGGTCATTGGCTTAAATATGATGATGTTAAATGACCTTCTTGTCCATCCTTGTTTTACTAATGGTTCCAGCAGCAGGATGGGGGTGACTAAATGTGCAGGCCAGAAAGTGAGTATTGATTTTACAGCACTGTTTTCTTTGGCTCGTGTTTGACAAATTGAACACAGATGAACAGAAGAGTGATTCTGGTTCACAGAAGTTCATTTAGAGGTTGGAATAATATGATCATTCATGCTCCCTTTACCTATGATATTTACGGTCCTCCCCTTTCCTACATTATGTCAGTCCCAGATTGAGATGACTGATATTCAGTCACAAAGTATAACCATATATAATACATTTATTTTTGCAATTTTGATCACTAGAAGCTCTGATAATGAATAATTTATCTTTACAAAACATTGATTTGGAAGTGGGGAAAACACTTAGTGGGAGAGTGAGGGGATCAGTACGTTGAGTGCCCAATGTACTGATCTGGTTTCAACTATTCCTAATAAAGAAATGTTGTGATAACCAGTTTCTATCAACTGAAGATTTTTTTCTCAGTTAAAGTATAGCAGTGCACAGTCTCCACCTGTTACTCCTGAACACACTGACTTCCTGTTGTGTCTGTAGATCAGATGGTCTGTTAGCAGCAGCTCAGACAGAGGGAGAGAAAGGCAGAACTGTAGTAGTGAACTGTCGGAATGGAGTACAGGCGTGGCTCTGAGCTGCAGTCCTCTGCAGTCTCTCTCTCTCTCTATCTCTCTCCTCCCTCCTCTTCCTCCTTGTACACCATCTGAATAATGACTTCTGTTAATTAGCATGGAGTGTCAATGCAAATACTGTCATCCATTGATTTTTTTTTTTTTTTTTGTGATGAGTCTGTCTGCTCGTACTGTATCGACCTCATCAGCCAAGGGTCTCTCCTTTGTATGCAAATAGAAATGTCATTTGTGTCATTTTTCTTTTGTTATCTGACGCTGTGCCCACCACCAGCTCACCGCCTCTTCCTCATCATTACTACACGAGCCATAGCAACAGTCAGCTCTTCGGTTGTAATCTGGATGTTCTAGCTCTAGCTAGTTATTTTGCAGTGTAAAGATCCCTGAATACTGCAGGTACGTGTAACTAACCAGACACACAACACATTACAGAACACCAGCATCCAAAAAAGGCTGCTGGTTGATGATCAAGCATCACGAACACCAGTTACACGTAATCATTCCCTATAATGAACCAACACAAAATCAACATCCTTACTACTAGGAACCTGCACGTTCTCCACTCTGTGTGTTAATGTATGTACTTACATACTTTTAAATGATCTCTAACTGTTACGAACATATATAAATAAAAAAAAGAACATTGAAAAACGCCTTTTGACCTCTTGCAGTGCATTCTCAGAGAAATCCCCTTCATTTTTGGAATACGGTGACTGACGCTGGTATATACATTTCTAGGTTTCATCCCACAACACTGTAGTACACAGTTGTACCACTGACAGTCATTACCAGCAGAGTTTAATCCCAAACACAACAGTCAAAAGGCAAAGCCTGGAGTGTGTGATATGAAATGATGTAATGCTGTAACCCAATGATTTCTCTCACTGTTGAAGCTGTGAGAGTATCATCTCCTACAGTATCACTGCAGCATGACGTACTGAAAGAACATCAGTACGAGAGCAGTGTGTGTGTGTGAGTCTGTGTGTGTTCTCCTACCCTCGGTGGTGGAGACGTGAGGAGCCGACAGGCTGCTGTTTAATAGATTACAAGGGGAACATGGCGACCCATTGATTGTGTGCACGCACGCACACACACACACAGCCTCCTTCCTCTCCCAGAATTCAGTGGAGTACAGTTACACAGAGGCAGTGGAAACACTGCCAGGAGCCCGTGTGTGTGTGTGCTGGTCGGGGAGCGTGCACACAGCAGCTCCTACTTACATTCCCTCAGCCTGTTGTGGTGGTGTCTTTGCACTGGAGCATCAGAGGTCGTACTGTCTTTGAACTCAACACTGATGTAGAGTTTCAGCAGCGGTGACACAAACACGCCAGTGTCTGTCGGTCGGCTTTAGATGGTATAGGTGTGTGTTACCATTATCTCTGTGTGTGTGAGACTAATGAGCTGTAACAGCGACAGCAGATACAGCTACAGGTACACGACGTACTGTTACTGCAGACAGTCTGATTGTACTGCTCTCTATTATTGATGCTCTGACCACTATAAGTCTAAACTAAAAACTTTTGCTGCATTTTTCTTGATTCAGTCAAAACATTGTTGTTAGACGGTATGTGACGCAGCAAATATTGCTCAGAGAAACAAGGTCTCCCTCGGGGATGAGAGGTGCCAAATTTGGCTGTCTCTCACCCTCTGCTTCTCTCTTCTTCCCTCTCTCTCCCTCTCTCTGTCTCCCTTTTTCTCTCTCTGTTAATCTTGATCAATATAAGATTTACCTTTATCTTTCCATTGATCATTTACTATTTTTGTGCCTCTCATGATTAATTATTGACTCCAAGTGCATTTGTTGATAACTTTTCTAGTCAGTAGTCTAGTCAGATACAGATCTGTCAGTTTTCCTACTGTGGAAACGTTGTTTTTTTTTTTTAATATTTAAAATTCAATTGATTTTTTTTCCACTGCCTGTTTTCTTGATTCAGTCAAAACATTGTTGTTAGACGGTATGTGACGCAGCAAATATTGCTCAGAGAAACAAGGTCTCCCTCGGGGATGAGAGGTGCCAAATTTGGCTGTCTCTCACCCTCTGCTTCTCTCTTCTTCCCTCTCTCTCCCTCTCTCTGTCTCCCTTTTTCTCTCTCTGTTAATCTTGATCAATATAAGATTTACCTTCATCTTTCCATTGATCATTTACTACATTTGTCGATAACTTTTCTAGTCAGTAGTATAGTCAGATACAGATCTGCCAGTTTTCCTACTGTGGAAACGTTGTTTTTGTTTTTGTTTTTTTTTTTAATATTTAAATTCAATTGATTTTTTTCCGCTGCCTATGTCATGCAATAACTCCACGCCCCACACTTTAAGAACCACTGGATTACATGACTGAATCCTTTTACCTTCTGCTAGCTTGCTTTTCAGGCCCTGCTGAGTGCATGATGTTATCTCAGCTGACACACGTAATGGCCCCGGGTGTATTAGGCATGTAACACAATACAACGGTTGATGTGGTTGTAGAGATGAATGGAGAGATGGATTTATACTAGTCACAAAACTGCAATAGTATTTAGTCTAGTGCAGCTTGTGATTATCTTGTGAAATAGGACTCAAATTATTCACTGAACGGTTGGTGATTTTTGAGTCGGTGTCTGTTGACACCATAGGTGTTTTTCTACTCCCTGCAGGCCACTAGTACTGTACTGCAGATGGCTCTGGTTTTAAATTGGCCACCGTTATTTGTCAACTTATTACATTTATTACAGAGTAACAGAAGCTTCAAGGTGCAGCCAGTGGTTGATCAAGACCAAACAATGTCATCTTGCGTTAGTAACGCTCTACCAGGAACTTCGAAATACTGCATTGTTTTGTAATTTTGTCATCCTGTTCAATGAGAGTAGCGTTTAGAAAAGTTCAAGAGTTGTGAAGAAATAGCTGTCCGAGAATCAACGTGGAAGAACTAGACCATAGTCTGATCTACAAAAGGCGACCTGTGCGTCCAAACTCACTGATCTCAGCAGTTCCTGTTGGTGTTGGATGAGGAAAATGCCCACTTTTCTTTTTAACCAGATCACATTTTCTAAACTGTTTCTAAACTGTACCTTTTCCTCTTTCAGCTAAAACTTGAAGATCGATCTATTGTCATCAGGGACATTGTGCGACGGAACAATTCCAATGTGAGTAACGTTTCCAGCCTCTCCCTAACAACCACTCTATATTTTAGCTCTTGGCTTTTCTTTTCTTTTTTCCATCAACCGTCCTATTGTCAATCATGTCACTGTTCACTGCCCCGTTCAATGTCTCACATGCGACATGACATGAATGCTGTGTGATGTGAAAAACACACTGTGATGTCTGATGGTTGATGTGTTACAGGACAACCAGTGTGGTATCGTCACCAACATTGACATCGAGTGCGCAGTGAAACTAGTGGGAACAAACTGTGTCCTGTATCCTGTTAACAGCAAAGACCTACAACACATATGGGTAAGAACAGTGGTGATGCCATGTCATGTGATATTTCATGTTATGTGGTGTAACTTCTTATAGTGCAGTATTTTCTTATTCTGATTTTTGTTTCTCTTTCTGTCTGTCTCCAAGTCCTTCATGTACGGTGACTACATTGCCTACGACTTCTGGTTGGGGAAGGTGTACGACTTGACCAATCACATCATCCTCAAGCTCTCCAACGGAGCCAGGTACCGTGTGTGACTGTGTGACATTCTGACCCACAGTGTTCACATCCTCTTTCAGTGAAGTCAAACCCCAGTCTTTGTCCTCTGTCTTTCCTCCCTCCAGGTGCTCCATGAGTGTGGAGGACGGTGCCAAGCTCTACGACGTCTGTCCACACGTCAGTGACTCGGTACGTTTGGATGACTACCGTAGACAGACCAGTTTACTTTAAATTCCCTTCACCACATGTAATAAAATTAGATTTCTGATACCGTACAGACAGCCTTAATTGCCATTGCAAACAGTACGCTGTGTTTATGATTTTTTTTATGTTTGATTTGTTCAGCTTTTTTACTCAGATACCTTCAGTTGTTTGTGGTATTTTTTCACATGTTGGTCATTGTTTGTTTTCTTCTTTCTGTCTTTTTTCCTCCAGGGCCTGTTTTTTGACGAGGCCTACGGTTTCTACCCAGGCCAAGTCCTCATCGGTCCCGCCAAGGTTTTCTCTAATGTGCAGTGGTTGTCAGGGGTCAAACCTGTTCTCAGCAGAAAGTGCAAGTTCAGGGTGGTGGTAGAAGAGGTGAGATGATGTTTTCCTTTTCATTCTCAAAGGAAGTATTTAGATTTTAGTTCAAGAACATTTGTGTCTTTTTTATCTTGTAAAGACGAAAATTCTTGGACACTCAGTTCCCATCATTCTGTTATTTATAGTGATTGAAGTGTTTATTGTGACAGTTGTGACACTTGTCAATATGAAAGACTATCAATTCTTCTGTTGTGCAGGTGAAGGTGGCTGAGCTGAAGGTGACGTGGATCACCAGGAGCTTCTCTCCAAAAGGTTCCAACAGCGTTTATCCACCTCCCTCCACCATCACACAGGAAAACCTCTGCAGGTCTGAATCCTGACACACACATTATGCTCATTTTTATATGAATAATATCTTCATCATGTGATTTGGAACTGCTGTGTCAAAAATAAAACATGTTTTAAAATAGCAGTCCAAGTATCTGAAGGCAGGCAGTTCTCTTTGCTTAAAGTTTATTTTTACCGTTTTGTTTTAATTCAGAGTGAGACGTCTGGGTTATTACGACCACACCCAGAGGCAGCTGGGAGAGAGGGCGCTCTATGTCTTCCCGGCAAAAGGTGATGCCACGCGGATCACCTGTGATGGACCTGAGGGAGGAGTGGTCCTGCCAGAAGACCCTGTGGTCAGAAAGGTTTGAATGAAGTCTTTTAAATCACATTATGGTAGAGAGAAAAACAAAACTGTTGGGTGACTGTTGTTTAGAAATCATTGTCATTCTGGTCTTGATCTAACGGTCAGTTGTTGTTCCTCCAGCTGAAAGGCCTGTTCAAGAAGTATTCAGGGAAGAAGACAGAGAACGCTGATGCACACGGTAGGACACTCAGCACATGTCTTTATTCAAATGTTTCAAGTACTACAATAATACTGGCCTTCTTTGAACAACAACTGCTGCTTAAGAAAATCACGGTCAAAATGCTGAAGACGTCTTTTTGGATCAAACGTTTTATTTGTCACAAACAGAGAGAAAGACATTTGACGAGGACTTTGTTTGTCAGTTTTTCAATGTCAGTTTTTCTTTCCTTTTTGTATCCTGAGCTACCATTTCTATTATTAGAACTGTTGCCTGCTTGATTTATGTACAGTACTGACAGTAACAGTGATGACACAGGTGTCTGTGGGGAACCAGTGTTACATAACTGTGTATTTCTACCTCAGGTGTCATTGCACTTTACACCCAGATGATGGCGTTTACCACGCAGAAAAATAAATACTCCTTTATTCTCATGTGCTGATTTCTGAACATTACTTCTGTGACAGATACTGGGCGGCCGTCTGAGAGCGGATAAATGATTATCTTTTGATTTGGTTTCAAAACAACTGGCTAATTGTTACAACTGTAAAGTCAGCAAAGTCAGCAACATATACCCTTTTAAATCATTAAGACCACTGTCTCCATGGTAACACAGTGCTAACTGATGAGTCATCATAAGTCATCTTTTTTTTTCTGTTTAAAAATCCCCTGTAATGCTCGTCTTGCACCAGGTGAAAACAAGTGTGAGCAGACAGACTCGTCACACCCCAACAACAACGGGCCTGTGGTTTCCATCCCGAACGCCCCGGACGCTCAGAACACCAACGACGGTTCAGCTGAGCACGCAGAGCAGGACGCTGATGACGAGGCTGCAGAAGATACTGATGACACCAGGTCTGTTGTCTTAATGTCTGTGCTCTGATTTAAGGACTTATTATGTGGGTTCTCTTGGGAAAATTCCCGATAAAACCGTCAGGACGGAGTGAGCAACTTTCCAGTTATGGAAAACATAGAAAACAAAAGGAAAGTAAAATTTCCTGGAAACACTTCTATTTCTGCTTCTCCCTGTAGTTGAGGTTTGTCGTTTATTGCATCCTGGTTCAGTACCTTATGTGACAACACCAGCCAATCACAAGTGTATGTCACGTTGGAGCAGCTCTTCAGTTTTCAGTTTCCACTTTATGGATTTATGTTCAGTGCTCTGTGACAGATCTAGTGACGGCAGTTGAAGAATGGTCCTAGTGGTGGTCTGTAATTAGACTGGGTGGTCAGTGAGTGATTTATCTCCTGGTTCCTCTGTCTGTCCTCTGTTAAAAACATAAACATCTGTGTGACCTTTTCCAGTGCGGTCTTCAACCTGACAAAGCTTTCCTGCAACAGCAACAAATCATGACCATAATGTTCTCTGCTCCTTTGCCCATCCATACTGTATAACTAATTGCCCCCTTCATGCCCCCGCAGCAGTTACTGCTAAAGAATCTGCCTGTTGTAATTACATTACAGGTGTATGAATGGAACGATTACTTAACTGTGATTTGTGTTAGTAATGAGCCGGAGTTGCCTGTTATGAAATGATTCTCGTGTGTAATGAAGAGATTAGACACAGATGGCATCACAGGCTGTTAATGGGTTTATATCTAATTATACTTGATCTGTTTCATCACTGCAGTTTGGTGCTTTGTGTACAGTACAGTACAGAGCAGAGCAGCGTGTTAAGTTGTCAACACATGTTTTGTCAGACTGTTGAGATGGAACATTTGAAATGTCTCCTCAGAAATGGGAACGATCAACATAGTGAATATGGGATATATTCTGAGGATTTCAAAACAATGTATCTCATATATATATATATACACTGTATGTATTAAGGACAATTCCTTAACAGATAATTGTTAAAATAACATATTGGATTTAATGCCAATTCAGTGGTTTTAGAGATTGTTTGAATTATAATGAGACAAAAAAACCCCTCTTGGTTGCAGTTCTCTGACATCATCAGCGAGCTCCACTGCCTCCTCTCAGAGCGGTGGTTTGACAACGAACCGAAAAAAGAGCATCCCTCTCTCCATTCGTAACCTGAAGAGGAAGCACAAGAAGAAGAGGACCAAATTTTCCCGGGAGTTCAAGCCTGGAGATCGGTGAGTTAACCTTTTGTTTATCTTGTCGGCCTTCAGCAAAACGTTGGGCAATTAATTTTATGTAAGAATCGAATTTGTGTGTGTGCGTGGTGTGAAGGGAGAGATGAGGAGGATAAAACATTAAATGTTAAAAGTTCTGATGTCTGACTGTGTTTGTTCTGTGTGCAGCGTGGCTGTAGAAGTTGTTTCCACCAAGACCACAGCTGATGTGATGTGGAAGGACGGGCGGGTGGAGAAGGGCATCAGATCGAATGACCTCATCCCGATACAGCACCTGGACAGCCATGAGTTCTGTCCCGGAGACTTTGTAGTGGACAAAAGACGTAAGGAAAATGAATGTGTTGACCCAAATACGATCAGAACTATAATATCTCTCTTAACCAATCAGATACAAGGTCTGTTTTACTAAACCGTGTCCATTTTCATGGCTGCTCATTTCAGCTCAAGCCCTGCAGGACCCAGGAGTGTATGGTGTGATCCAGTCAGGTGACCACAAGGGCAGAACGTGTGTGGTCAAGTGGATAAAACTTAATCCCACAAGTGATGATGTGGAGGTGAGGCAACATTTATTAAACAATATAAAAAAACCTTTTAATAAAAGCAGCAGGCAACATTTATTAAACAATATAAAAAACCTTTTAATAAAAGCAGCAATGTGAAGAATAAAACCTGTCTGTCTGTGTTTGAATGCAGGTTGTTGGTGTGGAGGAGGACGTCAGTGTGTACGACATCGCAGATCACCCAGACTTTCACTTTCGCACCACTGACATCGTCATCAGAATATGGAATTCAGAGAACGGAGAGAACGACTGTGAAAATGAGGTGAAAAAACATTTTTATTAAAAGTAATGTTTAAAAAAACATTTTGCCCTCTCTTCAGGCAACTGTGTGTATATTTAACTTCAGCTTTTAACTAACTATATTTGTGTGCGTACATATATACACATACTGTATATGTTAATGTATATAAAAATGTGTTTATACATGTGTTTATGTACCCATATAAATATATATGTATATATATCTTTCTGAATTTCGCAATTTTTAGATGAATAATGGACTATATATTTGTGTGTATGTATATATATTTATTAAGAGACATTTGTGACTGTCCTAGTCTTTGTACAGTACTATATGACCTCCATCTTTTATATGTGTATTATAATTATTCAATACCAGTTGTTTTATCTGCTCTCTGTCTCAGACATCAGTCGGCCAGGTGTCCCGGGTGGACGTGAGCAGTAAAGTGGAGGTGGTGTGGGCAGACAACTCTATGACCATCGTCCTGCCACAGGTGAACCATCGTTTCAGAAATGGTTTCACTTCAGTTGTTCTTTGTAGCAGTCAGACGCGCGTTGCTCACATTATGAGTCTGCTCTCACACAGCACCTCTACAACGTGGAGTCGGAGATCGAGGAGACGGACTACGACTCTGTGGAGGAGACCAGCAGCGTCCTGTCCACCGAGGAGTGGGAGGACGAGAGTGACAGCTGGGAGACGGACAATGGCTTGACCACAGAGGACGACAATAGCTACATGAACAACGCAGAAGTAACTGACGCAGCGAACCCGACCCCCACGCCCATTGGCTCTGCAGCTTTCATCATCCCCCCACAGGAGGGCAGCAAAGCTGCTGTCACCAGCCCGACAACGGATGTCCTCGGAGAAGAGGGAGAGGCGTCTGTGGCTGTGACCAGTCCTTCTGCAGCAGGTCAGCATCGTTTATGCAGCGTTCATATCTTCTGCACAAATTTTAATTTTAATTCTGTAAACACACAATGTTTGTTTTTTAAAATATTTTTGTGTTGTATTTTCAAGGTTCTCAGCAAACTAAAAAACAAGACATAAGTTTCATGTCTTATTGATTTCGTATCTACTCAGAACTTTTACTTACTGCATTTTTCTGCCCTGCTGATCCTACTAATTTCCGACACTGATTATAAACTGCCTGTTGCAGGAGGTCCAGTAAATGGAGCAGAGAAGCCCAGTAAAGATGGTGCCCCCCGGGGCTTCAGGGAGCTGAAAGAAGCCTTGAAAATCCTGGAGAGCCTTAAGAACATGACTGTGGAGCAGCTGTTGACTGGAGGTTCTCCGACCTCTCCGACCTCCACCGAACCAGCCTCCACCACTAACGTGGCCAGTTCAGTGACACTTGCACCCCCTGAAAAACCCACCAGGGAGAAACGGTTCTTGGACGACATCAAGAAGCTGCAGGAGAACCTGAGAAAGACGCTGGACAATGTGGCCATTGTGGAGGAGGAGAAGATGGAGGCTGTGGTGGAGGCAGGGGGCAGCGCAGTCGCCGGAACAGAGGTTTGAGTTGTTTTTTTTTTGTATTAAAAAATACCGGAACAGAGGTTTGAGTTGTTTTTTTGTATTAAAAAAAACAAAAACAACGATTTAAAAAAAAAAAAAAAAAAACCTGCAACGTTACATTGATTGTTCACATGTTGCTGTCTTTCTCCTCAGGTTGAGAAACCTAGAGAGGAGAAACCGCAGCAGGAGCCGCAGACTCCTGTTGGTACACAGGAGTGGCCCAGCGAGTTTCTCAGTGACACACCAGTACTGTGCCAACAGAGCGGGGGAAAACCGGGCGTCACCTTCACCAGTGCCAAGGGAGAGGTGTTCTCTGTGCTAGAGTGGGCGCCAGGTGAGAGCTGACGTTTCAGTTGCCTCAGTGCTCGCATCAGAAAAAGAAGACAAAATACTGACTAAGGGGAGAGGGAGGGTCTCTTCAAAATACTGCTGGTCACACATAAAAATGACTGCTGTACTTTTGGACTATAATTTTAAACATGTAAGATCATTTCCAACTCGTTTTATTTATGTTTAGTAAAAGCACTTTTACTCATTACTCATCTGGCATGACCCAAACAGCTCAAAAGGTTTAGTTTTAACTAGTTCTTGTCGTTTTAATATTCATATTTGCTTTCAAATTATTTTACTTTGTACAAGTAACATTTGTAAATGTTTGATTTGTATATGCAATTATAAACCTGATAATGAATTGTATTCATACAATCTCTCTGGTTAGCTTTTCAGAGGAAACGATACAATTTATTAAAAAATCTTCTTTTTCTCATTTTATTTAAATGAGTTTCACCACTCCTTGTCTCACATACACTGTCTTTTTGTAACAGACACCCATTCATTTAAGAAAATGGAGTTTCAGCCAGCGGAGGCCAAGAAGTTCTTCAGTACAGTCAGGAAAGAAATGGCGCTGCTAGCAACATCACTGCCAGACGGCATCATGGTCAAAACCTTCGAGGATCGCATGGTGGGTTTATGGTCATCAACATGACTGTCATCAGAACTGGTGTTTGTTTATAAAGCACTAGTAACTATACTTAATCATTTTCTAAACACTAATTACTTCTCTCTTTGGAATTATCAATATATTTTTTTGTCTCATATCCAGGACCTATTCTCAGCTCAGATAAAAGGACCGACCCGTACGCCCTACGAGGACGGGCTCTTCCTGTTTGACATTCAGCTGCCCAACATCTACCCAGCTGTCCCCCCACTGTTCAGATATCTGTCCCAGTGCAGCGGCCGCCTGAATCCTAACCTCTATGACAATGGGAAAGTCTGCGTCAGTCTATTGGGCACCTGGATTGGGAAGGTGAGCTGAGTGTGGAGTGACTGGTTACAGTGTAACGATGCACTCGTGGAGTAGGTCTAAATACAGCTGGATACATTTGTATGTAAATATAAGTTCATAAATGTTTGCAACAAAAACTGAGAAGCCAGTTTACTGTTAGGTCGTAGACTTGTTCAGATTGTTTATGCTGTCACTTCTTTCATACCTAAATATAAAAGCACTGTTTCTTCAGCATTTGGTTTGTTGTGATTGATCCACAGGGCACTGAGAGATGGACCAGCAAGTCCAGTCTGTTGCAAGTTCTCATCTCCATTCAAGGTGGGTTGGGTCCGTGCAGGGACACAGACACTGCGCGGTTCTTTTACCTGCAGCACATTAATATTTTACTGCTGTTTTCATTTGCCCAGGACTCTAAGCACGGTGTCGCCCACACCCACTCAGCATATACAACAGCATCAGCCAGAACACAGACATTACCTCACTGCCAAATCACATATTTGACCTGTAAGAGAAACTGGTTCCACATTTTAATTCACTACTGTCTCAGAGTGTACACAGTGAAGTTTTACTGCAGTATGTTTTCTCTGACTGTGGTATAAAACTCTGTGCCAAGGGAATGAAGCATAACTGCAGCAGGTTTGAAGAGAATAGTATACAGTGGTTCCATAGGGTAGCAGTTATCACACCTGCCTCACACATCTGCCTTACATGCAGAAGGTCCAGGGTTCAAGCCCCAGAGGAAACACATACTTGGCGCCTCCTATTAGGCAGCCTGTTGCAGTAGATCTGCTGTTAACATGACAATAAGAATTATTATTATTATGACTAAATGATATTTGTGAAAAATCTGCTGTTACTGCATACATTAAGAAAGTGAGAAAGCTAACTGAAACCTTGATCCCTGTGTATGGTCTGCAGGCCTCATCCTGGTGAACGAGCCGTACTACAACGAGGCCGGCTTCGACAGCGACCGCGGCCTTCAGGAAGGATACGAGAACAGCCGCTGTTACAACGAGATGGCCCTGATTAAGATGGTCCAGTCCATGACGCAGCTGCTGCAGAATCCCGTGGAGGTTTTCAAGCAGGAGATCCAGGAGCACTTTAACTCCAGCGGCTGGAGACTCGTCCACCGTCTGGAGGCGTGGCTGGAGCTGAGCGACGCCACAGACCACGCGCACGCGACCTGCAGACCATCGCACTCCAAGGAGCGACCTCCGTCAGTGGAGCCTCTAGATGAACAGCTGGGTCTGGGATCTGCTGTGGCCCACAGCAGCCCCAGTAAACCTGGGAAGGACGGGGTGATGGGAGTTAACAGCATCATCGAGGAGGAGCTGGAGGATTCAGGGCTGAGTCCCTCCACGACGGCAGCCTCTCAGCAGGAGCTGAGCCAGAACTCGGACTGCGACAGCAGCCAAGGGAACGCCACTGCAGGCGGTGAAACCAGAGCAGCGTCCACGATGCTTGGCTCCACCCGTGGTGTGTCGTCGGAATCGGGCCCTGCCACGGTAGGCACGGTAGGAGGGGTGGGCTCCACGGGAGGTCAGCCGGTGGTTCGACCAAAGAAACGAAGAAAGAGCTACAGGAGTTTCCTCCCAGAGGGCAGCGGCTACCCCGATATCCGGCTTCCCCACCTTCCTCCTTTCCCTGGGGTTTTGTAAGATG